GTTGAAGCCCATCCGCCTCAAGGTTGTGCGTGTTGTGGCTTCACAAATGCTTTGCTGCATACCTCAGTTGTAACGCGTGGGTACTGCAGTCAAAGTTGCTCTTCTATCAGCTTGAATCAGTCGGCCCATTCTCCTCTGACCTCTAGCATCAACAAGGCATTTTCGCCCACAGGACTGCCGCATACTGGATGTTTTTCCCTTTGCACACCATTCTTTGTAAACCCTAGAAATGGTTGTGCGTGAAAATCCCAGTAACTGAGCAGATTGTGAAATACTCAGACCGGCCCGTCTGGCACCAACAACCATGCCACGCTCAAAATTGCTTAAGTCACCTTTCTTTCCCATTCTGACATTCAGTTTGGAGTTCAGGAGATTGTCTTGACCAGGACCACACACCTAAATGCATTGAAGCAACTGCCATGTGATTGGTTGATTACATAATTGCATTAATGAGAAATTGAACAGGTGTTCCTAATAATCCTTTAGGTGAGTGTATATGCGCCATCAATAAGTTTAAAAGGCCTACAGTTTTAGAAATACTCTCATACAAAAGATCACATGTTTGAGATGTTAACTATAAATCAGGAAATTTTACTTAAATCCATTTATTTCATAGTTGCTTATCCTCATCAGAGTTGCTCTGATCATATGCCACATCACAAAGACCTGCGGATCAGATAAATCCTCGACACCAAATGACTTTAAGATGGTGTGCAGTTAACTTGTTCTGTCACCATTAAATTCAACAGATGGCAGCAATAAGCTACATAGAAAACTATACAGTGAAAGTAGACAAAATTTCTATTTCAGGTGTGCAGACCATGCTGTTTAGCTGATTTAGACATGAGACTGAAAATTCCTATTTATTTTGATGTTATATTTAAATGACAAAATCCTTACATGTCCATATAGTAATTACACTGTCATCACAGGTCTCAGTGAATTTAAGCTGATAACCAGAAGTCTTGAATGCTCCTGAAAGTTCCTCAGTATCAATATTGATTAAAGGGATAAGGAGGATGATAAAACTCAGAGGTTACTGAAATGCCAATGATATGCACACAGTGATATTCACAGCTTTTAGTATTTACTCCTTTATCCGTTAAGAAATTAAAACACATATTCTGTGTTTGCATGTTTTTTCTGACATCGCTATACATCCGTTTGCCCCACATCCGTTTGCTGCCATCCACCTGCAGATTTCAGTTATGATAAATTTAAAATAGTGAGCAGGCTGCTCGCTAACTTGTCAGCGTGTGGGTGTCACTCGCTAATAAATCCCTTTGATTATATTCCAGATAGCAGCAGTGGAACAGTAAAGGTAGCAGGCAGATTGCAACACAGGCGGATGTTGTGATGGAGTTCAGTCTTTCTGTGGTCTGGTTATCAGATGCATCACCTTCCTTCTTTTCGTACTGAGTGCGTCTCCTCTCATCCTGAGAGCCTGACTGCATGTGTAAGACCCCCGTGTGGTTTCTGAGCGGATCACAGCTGCATACCTGCTATGGAAGGAAGCCACGGAAGTTTTTATTCACATGCTTCTATTTTTATCTGCTGTTTATGCCTCAGAAAGAAAGATGAGACATGTATACCAGTAAGGAATGGAAACATACAGTAGTTATTAAAACAACTGTTAAATCTTGCAGCAAATTTTGATCTGTTTGTCTTCTTGTATATGCTAAGCTGTTTATTGAAGTACACAAATTTCAAGAAGCAATACTATTTCATCCCACTGGATGTCAGTGTGAGCAGCATGAGTCTCTAAAGGTCGTTCTGCCCCCTCGCAGCTCCTGCTCTGCCAGGAGAGAAGCTGCCTGTTCTCTGTTTGTGTGGATCTGGGTCCTTCGGTGAGCTCACATTATCATGAAAACACTGCAGTTTAGATTAACTCTACATCAGCTTTCATGCCTGTGCTTCTGTGCTTCTGCCCCGTGATGGAGTCTGAACCAGGATTTATGTGCCCCGCAGCTTACAGAGATTGAAGTGAGTGTTTTAGCTGAATGACAGCACCAGAAATAAAATATATATGACACGACATAACATAATGCATGACATGCATAAACAAACAGAAACAGTAAACTGGCAAATAATAAAAGTAATCAAATTTAACAGTGGTACCTTGTTTAGGTGGTCAAAATAGTTCAATTAATAACAGTTAATATCAGATATATCCAGCCACCAGTTACCTACCTGTCAAGTATAGGGTCATATAAGGAGACTGGGGCCTGTTCCACACAGCATAAGGGCACAAGGAAATGTTACGGTAATTTCATTTATCTGTCTCTTTTTGAAGTTACAGATAACTTTTACTGTGTATCGTGTAATATTCTTTCAGTGAACTAATTAACATTAATAATTGACTTAGTTTGTCAAAGCTGTGTATTTGTTCTGTCCTTTTGTGTGGGGATTCACTCACATGCCCTGGGACTGTGACCTGTGTCTCTTGTCACCTGAGTATAACATCTCCAGTTCTACTCCTTGTTACGTATATCCTTACACGTTTGCATTCAGAGGCAATTCTAGGGACTCTGGGGGCCCTCCAACTCGCCCTCCCCCAACATAGTAAAATTTATTACCATTCTTTTAGCACAAAGTCTGTTTAAATTATACCAAGAAAGAAATGTTAATAGAAGGAAATCCTTCCTTCTAGGGTGGTGCAGTGGTGTAGACGTTAGCAGTGTTGCCTCACCAGGATTCGAGTCTCCACCCCAGCTCCATGTGTGGAGTCTGCATGCTCTCCCTGTATTGTCCTCTGGATTCCCCCCACAGTTCAAAAACATGCTAAGGTTGACTGGAGATTCCAAATTCCCTGTCCTGGGTTATTCCCTGCCTTGTACCCGTAGCTTCCGGGATAGGCTCTGAACCCCCACAACCCTGTATAGGACAAGTGGGTACAGAAGACATGGTCCTAGATATAAAAGTCTTTTATTTGCATTTTTATAAGAATAATAGGAAAAGAATAATAATGCAGAATGACGTAGAATGTAAAATGTAAATAAAAGGAAGAGGAAGTTGATGAAACTACTGCAAATACAGTACAATCAATATAAATAATAAACAAAACATCCATGCAATACATGTAATACATATATATATATATATATATATATATATATATATATATATATATA